AAAAAAAAAAAAAAAAAAAGTTGCTCTTAAAAAGATGAGGGCTATTAAACAGGCACATGAAAAGATGTTCAACATCACTAATCATCAGAGAAATGCAAATGAAAACCACATTAAGGTATCGCCTCATACCTATCAGAATGGCTATCATCGAAAGATCACAAAAAGCAAATGTTGGTGAGGATGTGGAGAAAAGGAAACCCTCATGCACTGTTGGTGGGAATGAAAATTGGTGCAGCCACTGTGGAAAAGAGTATGGAGGCTCCTCAAAAAACTAAAAATAGAACTACCATATGATCCAGCGATTGCATTCCTTAGTATATATCCAGAAGAAAACAAAAACACAAATTTGAAAAGATACAGTGCACCTCAGTGTTCATAGCAGCATCATTTACATTAGTTAAGACATGGAAGAAACCTAAGTGTCCATCAACAGATGAATGGGTAAAGAAGATGTAGTATATGTATACAGTGGAATATTACTCAGCCATAAAAGGATAAAATTCTGCCATTTGCAACAACATGGATGGACCTAATGAGTATTATGCTTAGTGAAATAAGTTAGACAGAGAAAGACTAAATACTGTATGATATAGCTTATAGGTAAAATATAAAAAATAAAAGAAACAGTTGAATATAACAAAACAGAAACAGACTCACAGATACAGAAAGCAAACTAGTGGTTACCAGTACAGACAGGGAGGGCGGAGAGGCAAGGTAGAGGAAGTGATTAAGAGATACAAACTATTATATGTAAAATAAATAAGCTACAAAGATACATTATATAGCACAGGGAATATAACCAGTATTTTATGATAACATCAAATGGAGTGTAATCTATAAAAATATTGAATAACTATGTTGTATACCTGAAACTAACATGATAGTGTAAGCCAACTGTATGTCAATAAAAATAAATACATACGTAAATAAATCAACATAAATACATAAAACAAAACATTAAAAAATAAGGTCTCTTGGTGTCTTTTAGAGCCCCCAGCACTGTTCTCATGTTAAATGTAGTAGACTCCAAATACTGTTTTTTGAAATACTAAAATGACTTTAGATAATTAAATCTTTAAAAGAAGAAGAAGTTGAAGGGGCTACTGGAATATCAAAGTGTTTAAAGCAATTTAGCAACATGACAGGATTTACATTTTAGAAAGATACCGTGACTTCATTTTGGAGAGTGGAATCAGCAGGGAAAAATTAAAGCCAGAGAGATGGGTAAAAAAGTCATTTTTGAAGCACAGACCTTTCCAATGACCCATCATCTCCTTTGTCCCGAACATCAGGAACTAAGTACCAGCCCCATGTAAGCCCATCTGTGCCCTCTCCAACCAGGAGAATCTTTATTCAAATTCATTATTTTGGTGGTTATCTTAGCTATACCCTCTTATAATTAAAATGTTAATTAACTTGGCTTAATTTTGTATGATGGAAACTACTCTCACTTTTGAGACAGATTTAGTCCTTTTTTTTACTTTTAAGCAGAACATCTCAGTAATGATGGACACCGAAGGATTTATTCTGTTTTAAAAGACTATGAGAAAAAAAAGTCTGTTTTTTGCATTAATCTCTCTATATGTATATATCACCCAGCTAATAGGAGTAAGTGTTGGGTGACTACAATTTTGAAGAATGGACAAGAAATAGAACATTATCTAGGACTGGGAAAGCATGCACTCATTTATTCATTCATCTGTCCATCAAATATTTTTGAGGGCCTACCAGATGACAAGAACTGTTCTGAGTAAGAGTGAAGCAGTCTTGCACACATACACATACACACACACAAAACGCTAGCCTTGTCCTTGTGCAAATTACAGTTTAGCAAGGAGGACCAACATTGATCAAATGAACTGTATTTGCCTTCAAGTAATTAATGCAGTTCTATTTGACAGCGTCATTTATCCAAGTCTTGCTTTTCCAGCTGATCAAGAATCTCAGTTCCTTGGCATTTTCCAGCTCTCCACTAGTTGTCCTTGAATAGAATGAGAAAGAATGTTGACATTGAACATGGCTCCCTGCATTCTTGGGAAAATAGCTTCAAGGCCTCCTCACCTCTTTCATAAAATGCAAATACTAACTTTATGATTTCTCCTATTATCCCTAAGTCCTAATTAAAAAGTCAAGTAGACTCCAACTTCAATTGCAAAATTTTAGGTATTTCTCAAGAAGTATAAATATTTAGTTTTGACTCCTGGATAAATGAAAGACTTTCTTGTTTGTGGGGTGTCAAGCTTTCTTCAATTTCAGCATAAGTTAGCGCATTCCTCAATGTGCAGTAGTGTCTTGATTGGGTGATACAGCTCTGAGATGCCCTGACTTACATCTGTCCTTTAGTTTTCAGTCAGCTATATGGTCCTTTAACTCTAGGGAGTTAGACGTATTGGCCAAAAAATCAGAGTTTGGTCTCCATCATTCATGCCCTTGAACTCTCCCCTGTTCCTCTGACAGCTCCAGGCAAGGACAGTGAAGCTGCGGGGGAAGTGGTGAAAATGGTCATTAAAAGCTTTACTTTTTCCCTCCCTTAAGTAGTCAGTACTTATCTTATTAACTCTGCACAGATATAGATAAAATATGCATTTAAAAAAATAATTGTTCTACAATACTATGAGAGAGAGTTAAGATGTGAGATGGGATTTGATATATAGGGACGTTGGTCCTTCAAATGTGAAAAGTAGAATCGTGGGTTTTAATATGATCCTTTTGCAAAAAGATCTCAAAGAAAATACATTAAAAAAAAGAAAGTGTTGCAAATATGTGACTCGAAGTGCTTATGAACTCCACATACAATGTTTGTAGAATCTCTCTGCTTTGCTTTGAATTTAAGAAGACTTCTTGGGAAAGCTGAACACTGAGGTATCTTTGCAGCAGAATTTCTGGGAAGAAGTTGATTTTTTCCAGTGTATGGGTATTTAGACAAAGGCATGAAGACAAGACAAGGTGAGGGAAAAAAAGAAAAGAAAATCTTTAGTAATCACAATATTGTAAAAATGTTTTGATTCAAAATAAACTGGGACTTCAACTCCAAATCTGTTGTAGCTGTAAGGAAAGAAAAGATTTCCAGTTCTGTCTGAACATTTTGAAAACAAAAATTCCAGGAAAGGATTAACTCTTGTGGGTGATATTAGCATCTCATATCTGGAGAGTTTCTGTCTGTTAATGTGCATCGTAGTAAGATGATTTGTCAGTATATACACGCAAAACTTTTTATTCAAACCTAATACGTTTTATTTGCATATAAAGTGGCACATTTATTCTCAACAATAACTATCCCTGAAGGAGTGATATTTAATAGGAGAATACAATTATCCCAGTCAGGCCATAAACATTTTCTTTAGGGCAATGGCTACAGTTTAAGATAGGCTCATAATCCCTCATGTAAAGTACCGGGCTAGTACCAAACCGAGCTAGAGAAGAATTTAAGCAACAAAATTATTGTGATTTCATTTGAATAAAATATCTGTTTTCACTTATTCACCATTTTAGGAGCTATAAACATAAAGGTCAATGAGCTATTAAATTTTTATTTCAGCCTCAAACAATTATTTTCGGTACAAATGTTAAGAAGTGTAAATATTTTATTCCACACCACGTTAACCACCCAAAATTGTTTTATTTTTCAGTTAAGATGATGGTATTATGGAGAAACTAGTTGGAATATATCTCGTTAATGATTCTGGTCTTTCAGAGTGGCCTCTTCAGGGTATCTTATTATACATTGTCTTACCTTACGTACATTGGCTCTTTTTTGACTGAGCATTGTTTTTCTGAGATTTTAGGGTATATTTCCCAGATAGCTATAATGTCTCAATATTTTAGAATTCATATATGGTCTCGCAAACAAACTAGAAGAAAATGAAAGCTAAATTATTTTACCTATCCTATCAGGAATCAGAAAGCTTGGGTCATCAAATTGGCCTCTATCATTAGTAGACTGGGTGACAATTCAATTATCTTCTACAGAACTTTCTTATCTGTTAGTTGATGTATTGGACCAACTGTTCAGAATTCCCCACGCTAAGACTGCTGGAGATTTTGTTCTTTAACCCAAGCTGGCGGGTAATGATTATATCAAAGGAGCACACAGGCAAGAATCAAAAAGAGAACTGAGGTCACAGAGGTGGAGAAAAGAGTCTGAACGAGTAATGAGGGAGCCTGATGTAGGTACCACATATTGAGCAGAAGGAAGAATTGAGGTCAGTGAGATGTGATGCTCTGATGTATCCTGCCTGGCCAGCTCTCACAGAGAGCTGTGCTCAGAAATCCTGGGAAGGGATTGACATGGGAGACCTGGACTCAGTGGTCTGTAAGATGCCTTTTAGCCTTAAAAGCCTTGGGAATGTCTTCTCTCTGAAGGCCATTGGGTAATAATCCAACTTCTTCCCTCTGCAAGTGCTTCATGCCTTTTGCTAACACTAGGACATAATTCAGGCTTTGGATTTGCAGGCTGATTTTATGAGACCTCAATACTAATGCTCTCTCTCTTTTTTTTTTCTTATCAAAGTTCACTTTCTTTGAGTTTGTGAATAACCATCTTCTAATTGAGAACTCAGTGTCCTCTGCTCAGTCCAGGTGTGTTTGAGTATGGCCTGAAGTTTCTTCCCAGGCTGGCCCACCTCGCACGTTGGCTTAGTCCTCAGTTTCTAACAAGACAAGCTCCTTGGTTTGGCAGACAGTGGGGAGTCATGAGACAGGCAGCTGACATTGAATTTTCCTTTTTAGCTTTGATTTTGCCAACATCTGGACAGTGCATCTTTAGCCAGTTCCTCTGCATATGTTCTTCTGGAAATTCCATTTAAATTGCCAATGGGAAATGAATTTGGCTATTATCAAAACTGCCTTATTTTGGCCATTATCAAAACTGCCTTATTTTGGCCCCGAAGCCAGTGGGATTTCTGGCCAGAATCTTCTGCGGCAGATATCTCCCTGAGTTTGGGGAGTCTGTATCAATCACTGGAGGACCCAACTGATCAGATCATTCTCTGAAGGTGAACGTATGCTCTCTTTTGTATGTGCAGAGAGCACCCACCCTCACCCTCCTACACTCAGCCACTCAGCAGCCCCAGAGTGGCGAGGTTGACATTGTCACTATTAAGGTACTACCAGCGTCCCTGCCAAGGATGATGCAGCCAGGGTCAGGAGGTCAGGCATCGCCGTGTGCTTGGGTGCTCCCTAACCTTTCCTCCTTTTCTTAGGTCTCTGCCCCTGCACACTCTTGACATACGTTTCCTGCTTGGGAAACTCTTTTCTCCACCTCTGTGACCTCAGTTCTCTTTTTGATTCTTGCCTGTGTGCTCCTTTGATATAATCATTACCCGCCAGCTTGTGTTAAAGAACAAAATCTCCAGCAGTCTTAGCGTGGGGAATTCTGAACAGTTGGTCCAATACATCAACTAACAGATAAGAAAGTTCTGTAGAAGATAATTGAATTGTCACCCAGTCTACTAATGATAGAGGCCAATTTGATGACCCTGCTGTTGTCTGTGCCTTATAACTTATGCCAAATTGTGTCTGGGGCAGCTCTTGCCTTGGGAACTCCAGTGCCTCATCCATCCATCCATCCATGTATTTATTCAAGATACATTTATCGAGCATCTACTGTATATCAGGTGCTGTGTTAGATGCTAGGGAAACAGCAGGGACAGAACAAACATCCCTGACCTCATGGAGCCTCCATTCTAGTGGAGAAGACAGATTATAAGGAAAATAAAGCAATGTGTGTAGAAGCTGATGAATGCTGTGGAGAAGTAAAAGGAGGGAGGGGATACAGTGTTGAGCTTGTGGTTTGAGGAAAGCTCTCTGGGAGGGAAGATTTGAAGGAGAGAGGAGGTGAGCCAGAGAGAATCAAAGAGAGGAGGCAAGTGGTAAGGCGCCATCTCCACTGCAGAAGTGCATTGTGTTTTACCCCAAGGGGTAAGGGACACCTTGGAGGAGTCTGAGCAGGAGAGTGAGCTGATGTGACTTACATTTTAACGGCGTCATTCTGGCTGTTCTGAAAGTCAGAGGCAGAAGCAGGGAGACCCATTTGGAGGCTGGTGTAATAATCCAAAAGGATCAGAATGTGGCAGTGGATGTGGTGGGGAGTGGCAGGATACTGAACATATTTTGAAGAGAAAGCAGACATGCTTTCCTGATGGATGTGTTGTGGAGTGGAGAGAGGAGAGATGGAAGAGTCAAAAAAGATGCCAAATCTGGCCTCAGTCATGGCCAGGTTAGCATTGCCTGTCTGACATGGAGAGACCAGGGGAGCAGGTGGAGGAGACCATGTCAGGTGAAGAGTGTCAAGTCCTCAATGCATATCTTTTATGAAGGAAATCATCTTAGACACAGGGAAAATGATATATTTGAAAGGCCTTTAGCCAAATAATATTAAGAGCTAACATTCACCCGATGATGCTTCAGTGTACATTTTCTCACTTGACCCTCACAAGAATCTTATAGGGTAGGTGATTTTATTAATCATTATTATAGTTAATAATAATTATTATATTTAATGAATAATTATGTTATAATTATTATATAACTAATAATTATATTTGTTATAATTATACGGTTATAATAATTGTTATTATATAGTGGATGAGTTTATTGTTATTACTACTGTAACTGCTAATACTATTTATAGATAAAAAAATTAAGACTCATCAGCATAAAGTTCTTCACTTTATGGGGACCAAGTTTTAAACTCAGGGCTGTCTCTCACTCACAAAAATTAGGTTTTAAGTGCTTAAATGAGCCACAGGGACAGCAACCTACAAAGATGATACAAGTGATCTTTGCTTTTGCTTTTTTCTAAAGCCATTAACCACTTGCTTTGGTTGCTCCTGAAGCCATCAGCTGAGCTTTTATCCATTCAGTCCATAGCTATGAAGGAACTTCTATATAGCAAGCTCCGTGCTGGTTCTGAGGATATGATGTTGTATAAACATAAATACGCCTCCTACCTTCTTACAGCTTACTCTTTAGTTATAGAAACAACTATAAAATTGCAACTCTGGTAAGTGATTCAAAGGAGAGGTCCAGGGAGTGGTGAGGGCATTTAACGAAGGAATGTGACTTAGTCTGGGAAAGGAGTGATGATTTAGCTGAGCCGAGACACATAGCAACTAACAGGCAAAGATGGAGGGGAAGGGGAAGTGTTCTAGGCATAGACGACATGTGCAAGGGCGCTGGGACAGGAAGAAACATCATGTATCCTGCATCCTAGGCCAGGAACTTAAAGAAGGTCTGTGTCACAGGGGCTCAGGAGCGAGGAGTAGAGTGATGCAGAACCAAAGCTAGAGGTCCCCACAGGCAGGACCAGACATCAAGAGCTCATCGTGGATGAACATATAACCTGTCATTCAATCTGCCACACTTTTGAGGGCTCTCATGTACTAAACAGAATATTTCATTGGCACTACGTGTGAGAACTAGGTCTGTCCTGGCCACAAAATACTGATAGTCTCACTATTTGGAGGCCAGTTTGAGCTTTAGTCCTTATCGTAGGAGTGGATGGGGAATAATTAACAGGTTTAGCAAAGTGGAGAGGATTGGCATGGTCAGATTTGCATTTTTAAAGGATTATTCTGAGTCTAGTTAATGGTAAAGTACCAACATCCATTTCCTAGATGTTAAATGTATGGTTATGTAAAATGCTATCATTGGGAAAGCTAAGTGAAGGGTACAGAGAACTGTGTGCTTTAATTTTGCAACTTCTTGTGAGCCTAAAATTATTTCAAAATGAAAGGAAAAGTTAAGTTTACTCCGGTTGCTGAGAACAGAGAAGTGATGGGCCAGTTGGAAACACAAAGTTCAGAGAGGAGGCTAGTTGTGTAGACTGTGCCAGAGTTGAGGGCAAAATAGTCTGGAGGTGTTAGAAACCAGGGAACTGGTCCAAGAGATACAGAAGATGAAATGCCACCAGGCTGCTCCAGACGTCTCATTTCTTTGCTCCCTGAGATGTCCTACCAAGAGGATCCCCAGAAGAGATGATGGGACATGGCGGCTGCCCTTCTAACAGTTTCCCTCCTGCTGACTTCCAACCCTCCTCTCCTAGGGCAGGTGGAGTAGTGCCTGGGAAACTCAAACTCAGTCTTTCATGCTGTCATTATCTCTTCTCTTCTTTCTAGGGAAACATTACATTTCCCCCAGCCAAAGCCCACAGAATGGGAATTTACAGGCTTTGAATTTACTGCAAACAAATAATTAAAATATACCCTCTCTTCTTTTTGTGGCTAGAGAGAAGGCAGGAAAAGGAAAGACTTGATAGGACATTTTTAGATGAAGGAGTGAGGAATAAAGAAGGATGTGTGCTCAAAATAAGCTGTTTTTGAAAAAAAATGTGCTTGAGAGTTACTTTGGGGAGAGCGTACTGTATATTACATCCAACAAGAGAGAGGCTACCAATATTGGAAGACCTAATGAGAAATATGTTAGTATTTGATTATTTTTTCCTTATGTATTTGCATGCTTTGGGGATTTTCTAAGCTTTAGCTCTTTGTTATGCTCTTCTTATTTCTTTTTTTCAGATTTTTAAGAATTTTTATTTTTATTGAAGTACACTTGATTTATAATGTTGGGTTAGTTTCAGATGTATCCCAAAGTGATTCAGTTACATATATATACATACTATACATATATATTCTTTTTCAGATTCTTTTCCATTTTAGGTTATTGCAAGATAATGAATATAGTTCCCTGTGCTATCCAGTAGGTCCCTTTTGTTTATCTATTTTATATACTGTAGTGTGTATCTGTTAATCCCAAACTACTCATTTATCCCTCCCCCTCACCCCTTTCCATTTTGGTAACTATAGTTTGTTTCCTATGTCTGTGAGTCTATTTCCGGTATATCTTCTTATTTCTTGGAAGCCCTTCCCAATTAGTCAGAAGGTTGCAGTCTTGATAGGATATATGTCCTTTGCAGGATATTGAACCTCATTCGTTAACCATTAGCACAAAATTGTCATCTGCATTGTTTTTTACAGCATGGGGGTGGCAGGAATTAAGAGAAAGAGGTTCTTTTGCTTTGAGCAGTGTTTGGGGCTGCATTTTTCATGATCAAGAGCATACAAATTACAGTACGATGTGCAGGTTAGTGGTACCTCAGTGATAGCAGTGGGCGTTTAGGGATGGAGGGAAGCGATGATGTTGGTACAGTATTACTGTAACAGTGTCTTTATAGTTTCTGAGAAATATTTCCACCCCAAAAATAAGATGCAGATTTTGTGTTTTGTCACATTAGATAGAAGAGTAAAATAAATGGATAGAGAATTTAAGTATTGGAATGATTTCTAAACAAAATTCTCCAAATAAAACTATATATAAGAATAGCCTCCTGCTTACTATATGGTTATCTTCTAATAGTCACTTGTTAAAAACTTGGAATGGATTTTTTTCAGCTTTATTGAGGTATAATTGGCAAATCAAAATGGTAAATATTTAAATTTTTTTTGAGAGGGGAAAACATGTAAGACTTACCCTCTTAGCAAATTTCAAGGAAACCCTGGAGGAGAGTGTATAACTCAGTGGTAGAGTGTGTGCTTAGCATGTACAGGGTCCTGGGTTCAATCGTACCTCTATTAACAAAATAATAATAATAATAATAATAATAATAAGTAAATAAATAACCTAATTACCCCCCCTCAAAAATGAAATCACTAAAGAAAATGTTCCTCAAGGAAGTTCTGCCATTTGTATCATTTATAATAACATGGAGGAACCGGGAGTAAATGTGTTAAGTACAATAAGCTAGACACAGAAAGACAAGCACTGTACGATTCCACTTACATGTGGAACCTAAAATAGTCAAACATCACACCCCAAACAAACTTCTCAAGGATTTCCCACCACTCCGCTGTCTTCATGTCATTTCCTTTATCCCCAGTGATCTTTTGCTTCACTCCATCTCAGCTCCTGTGTCCATCCTGAACTGCCTTCAAAACTCACAGTGCAGTCATCCCACTCACAGACCACACCCTCTCTTCTCAGATGACTTTGACTTTGACAAGTATCCTCACCTTTATCACCTTTATTGACTCCATCACTGCCTTTCCTGTCTTTTTTTTTTCAATTTAGTTCCATTAAAAATATATCCATACAACCACACAATCATTAAATCAGAATTGCTTGGGGTGTGGCCCAGGTGTTAGAATGTTTGGAAGCTCCTAGGTGATGATAATGTGTGGCCAGGTTGAGAAGCATTGCTCCATCCTCTGAACATCAGAACAGCCAGTTCTCCTAGGTGAGTTCATAGATAAATCTCTTTTAGTGTGTTAATAAGTATTAATGTGGTTTTTAACAGAATCATTCTGGAAATGGAACATCCCTTAATAGCTGTAGCTTTAAGAAAACGGAGCCTAACGGGAGAGATTTTTGGTCTGTGCTTCACATCTCCCTTTCGCTCCTTGAAAACTGAATCTCTGTTGTTCTCTAGGGCAGTGGCTCTCAAGCTGTTGTGCCAGTGGCGTGTTCATATAATCCTAAGATCATGAATCATTGGGTGATTTCCAAATTTGCATCTTCATTCCTGACTTCCCTACCGAGCTGTAGACTTTGTATATCCGGCTGCCTATTTATTATCTCCACTTGGATGTCCATGACTCTCACCTAAAATGACCAAAACCAAATTCTTTTTAAATTTTTAAAAAATTTTTAATTTTTTAAATTGAAGTATAGTCAGTTTACAATGTGTCAATTTCTAGTGTACAGCCTAATGTTTCAGTCATACATATACATCCATATATTCGTTTTCATCTTCTTTTTCATTATAGGTTACTACAAAATATTGAATATAGTTCCCTGAGTCTTTAAAAATGTGAATCAGGTCACAGCCCTGCCCTTCTCACAATTCTTTACTGGCTTCCCGTCTCATGTATAAGCAATTCAGATTCCTCCCAGTGCCCACAAAGCCCTATATGATCTAGCCCTTTTCTACTGTCTTCTTTCTTGGTGGTCTTTCTGTTCCTCAGACACACAAGAAAGGAAGATATTTCCTGCTTCAGGCTCTTGTGCTCACTGTTTCTCCCCCACTACCCCTAAGTCTCTACTTTGTGATTCTTTTCTCTTCATTAGCACCTCTGTTCAAATATCATTAGCTAAAGAATTACTCTGAGCATCTGCCTAAAAGATCCACCATTCTCTGCAGCACCTGCCCCTTAACCTCGCTTTGCTTCTTCATGTTGCATCCAGGTGTGAGTTGGAGCTGGCTCGTACTGCTCTACAGAATTGATTGTACACATCACATTGTCACATCGATTGTGACATCGTGTTGGTAGTTTGTGATTGTCCCAGATGGGGAGTATTTACACTACAAAAGCTACAAATCCAGAGGTCCCTTACTGACGCTTACACTACTGCTTCTGACTCCATGGATTCAGATTATAGACTTGGTTGTTTTGGTCTGAATCCCTCAGTAAAATTTAGGCTCCATGAACAGAGGGACTTAGTATGCCTTTTGTATATGATCACATTTTAACTGTCTATGATAGTACCTGGACACAGTTGGCATGCAGTCAGTGTTAATTGGATGGATGGATGGACAGGTAGGTGAAGGAGCAACTGAGTGAAAATCAGATTTTGGTGATCTCATCCCAATTTTCAACAATACAATTTTTCAAAGGCTGGAATTCCTTTTCTTCTCTCTTGTATTTTTTCTTAAACTATTGGTCTCTGTAATACTTCTCTGCTCTGAGAACAGGGTTGTTTATTTTTCTTTTTTCTTTTTCTTTTCTTCACATGTGATTTCCTTTTACAGGCATATCATATCTGTCATTTTCTGCTAATAAATTTTTTCTTTCATGTGTCTCTAAATTAAATGTTTTTTTTTGGTGTTCTTCCGGGTGGTCATAAAGTCTGGAAACCCAGGCAGATACACATAATGAATAGTCTGTGGATATGACATCACATTGTATGATCTGATGATCTGTTTGGTGACATAACATGACAAGCTGAATGTGTTGTCCCCTGTGAGCTGTGCTCAATTCAGTGCTCTGTGCCAGTGGTACCAAGCACAGTGTTAACACAGCATGTCCCTCAATCACACACCTGCGCCTCTAATGCATCCTCTCAGAGGTTTCGTGTCTCTGATTTTCAGTGAGTGAACTTTCGCTCTTAGTATATTCCATCTCGGAAGATGGAACAAGGGAGTGGAGGTCTGGTGAGCCCGCAGCCCACGTGCCAGGGTCACGTCCTCCAGTGTAGTTTTGGAGATCATCTTCTCACCTGTCTTGTCTCTCACTATTCTGGCTCAAAGAGATGGTGCGCCATCCAGTGGGAACCACTCTGGTGACCTTCTCCTCACCTGTCAACTGTGAGCACTTATTTATCAGAACACAGAGAAATCTGTCCAGAAGTGCTCTGTGTTTTCAGACTTTGAGGCCGCTTCAATAAAGAACACAGTGACCCTCTGGGTGCTTTTGTGTCTGAGCACATTAGAGAACCTTTTTCCTAGAAGAGACGCTCTGGCGGATGCAGGAGGGGAAGGGTCCTCCCTGGGCATGAGCAGTGCAGACTCTGGCAGAGCCTGGGTGGGGAAGGGACATTGTTGAGCAATAGTCACAGTGCTGCTAGGGACTTTTCAAAGGACAAAATACCTTTTAAAAAACATGATAACACAAGGCTGGATGAGAAGAGCCATTGAAACTGTCCAGGGCTCCCAAACTCTGGCTCATACAGCCAGTTCTGGGTGGGATGAGGAGGACTCATGGAGGAAGGCGGAGTTGTTAGCAGGCTTGTCTCTTGGCTCCTCTTAATTGACCGAAGCGCATTCTACTCCGTTTGTGTCCCCAAGGGCAGCACTTGTCACAGTGTGGACCATGCATCATCTACAGAAGATTATCTGTGATACTGGTTATAATGTAGGTCCCTGGGTCTCACCGCAGACCTACCTCATCAAAATCCCGGTAGGTGTTAGTTTTCTTCCCTTCTCCATTTCCTGTCTCTGAAGTCCTAAAAAATATTTAGGCTTGTCTATTATTCTTCCATTCGTCAATCGTTGCTGATAATTACTAGGTTGAATCTTATGAACTTGCCAGTGTGGCAAGTGTGAGTGGCAAAAATGGCAATTGAATGTAGTCCTAAATAATGCTGAATTCCAGGCCCTGTCCCAGGTGCTGGAAATGCAAAGACAAAACAGTCCTTGACCTCAAGGCATTCACAGTGTGGGTAGAGAGACACATAGATGAGTTAATCTGGTGTGGTTATGTAATGATAATTTTTAAAGGACATTTGATCACATGTATTGTGAAATATAGCTAACTTTTAAATTATTGAGATAAATTCTTAGATGATAGGTTGGTACTAGGTTATTAAGGGAAGTTAGCATTCCCTTAATACTTAGTCTTAGTACTCACTAAATTTGATGTTAGGAAGAAACACATGTACAGGAGAGTGATCATCTTCAATGGTGGGTACCCAAGGATGGGGAGACTAAGAATATCGAGGTCACCTGAGGGTCTTATTTGAATTACATGCTTCTCGTCCCATGAGAGCATCTGCTATATTCCTCCAAGAAAGAGAGCTCATTCCT